AGTGGATGCCGAGCATCTGATTTGGCTGTCAGGATTCATTCACAATGATGATATTCTTTCAGTTTGGAACATGTGTCTGCCGTTGTCATCGTACACAAAAAAATGGCACTCACTTTAGTAGCCGTATGTACTTACTCTGTTCTGGAAGATCTCAGAAGGCTCTCAGATCCTTTTACCTGCTGGGTGGAATGGACAAAAAACATTTTGAATTTGGTTGGAGGGAGAGAGAGAGAGAGACAGCTGCGAAGACTTTTTTTGTTCTGCAGAAGAGCCACTATGCCCATAAGATGGAGCCATGTGGAAAGTGGCATCAAACACGGAAGTGCATATAGTGTTGTTGTTTCACCCGATGTGTGACAGGTAATATTGATACTTGTACACATTAAACCCCACTGGTGAGATTGCAACACCATAGCTACCCATGCATGCCATGCAGGTGTTTGTATAAAAATGTTGGGTCAATTTGGAAACTATTAGATTAGGCATCCTTCAGTCTCAAGAGATTATGGTAACGTGCTCTGTATGGAGGACTTGGAACAGCGTCTAGTGTGGCTGAGAAGGCCAATTAAAGAGTGACCATCCCTTCCACACTGAAGAAAAATACAGTCTGTCCCCTGTCCAGCTCCCTGGTTTTGCTGGTTGCAGGACGGCCTCTTTGCCTCAGCCTGCTGGACAAGGGTCTCTTCAAATTGGGAGAGGTCGTGATGCAATGCCTGCCTCCAGGCTGAACGCTCGGATGTCAGGGCTTCCCATCTGTTGAGGTCCATTCCTAAGACCTTCAGATCCCACTTGCAGATATCCTTGTATTGCAGCTGTGACCTCCCTCTGGGGTAATTTCCCTGCACTAATTCTCCATACAGGCGATCCTTTGGAATATATATAGTTTATTTTTTAAAAATGGAGCATTTCCCCCTTCATACGCCATCCACACCACTGTTGCCACAGTTGGAAATTTTTAAAAGATTCACCTTTTACTAGGTGAATGTAGGAGATTAATAAGCCCATAGGTCTCTGTATTCTGAAAGGCAGATAAGAGAGGGGAAAATCACGGGATGAGTATGCGTGGGTCTCTTGTTGATTCATGACAAGACTGCTTTGCAGCTGCCTGCATGAAAACATATAAAGACCAGATGGATCTTGTTTACTTTGGAAAGATAAATGTAAAGGGTACTGATGATTAAATAAAATAAAAGCAGCCAGTGGAACCTCCATGATAAATCCTTAGCAAACAGGTCAGTGAAGCGATAGCCAACCAGCGTCGTGGAAGATAGAAAGAGACACATTTATTGCATGTAGAGCACAGGTTCTTAAGAATACAAGAGCGCAGGAAGTCCTGTTTTTAATGTCCCCCAGTGGCTTTATGATATTGGGTCGAAGCAGAGAAAGATAAGCTCTGGATATGAAAAAAGGGGTTGTAGGTAATCAATACCAGCTCCTGGTTTCGAGGGACGCTTTGGCAAGGTGCCTGTCCTGAGTTGTCTCCACTTCTCCATCGTCCCGACTCCGTGTCACACAGTCTGTGCTTCTGGATCTCATATAATGCTCACTGTTGCCAAGGTAGAAAGGGTGGGAGATTTAAGGAGGATGCAGCAGTGGCTGCTTTACCTGCTCTTCGCCCCCAATTGCATCATCCTTCTACCTCAGCTGTGGCTTACTCTGGCTCGCTAGATGTCACTCCCATCATCCTCAGCCAGAAGGGCCAAAATTATAAGGCTGATAGGAATTGCAGTCTAACAGCAAGTAGCCCAAACCTGCTCTGGTTACATACAATGGTGTTGTTTCTTGGTGAGCTAGAAAATGCATACAGGAACCCCCAGTTGTGTTTATGATTTTTAAAAAAAAACTCATAAAAAGGAATGCGAAAGTTCTTGAGTGTGTGGAGCTCTGCAGATAAATAAGATCTGTTGCAAATGATCTTTTTTTTTCAAGGTGGGTGGGTGTCCTGTTGCTAATAAATCATTGCTTTCCCACTCTAAGCGACTCATAAAGTTGCAGTTGACTTTCCGGACTATTTCCTACATAAAGCTTTGGTTAATGGATCTGAGGGTTCTAGTAAAAAGCCTGAAAGCCTGACATCCGCCCACCTCTGCCTGACAAGTTGTTAATTTCTTATTTGATGCAATAAAGTCTCACAGAGAGGAATTCTAGTAGCTGCCGTCCAATTCTGGAACTTGCAAGATAAGGCAACATCTAAGTCGAGCTGATTTCTCTTGTTGGATGGTTGCTGACTTGACCACAAATAAGTGGATATTATTTTTATTATAATTACAAGTCATGAAGCCATGGAATCATAGAATTGTTGTAGGGTTGGAAGGGACCTTGGAGGTCTTCTAGTCCAACCCCTTGCCCAAGACAAGAGACCTCACCCCATCCCGGACAGATGGCTGTCCAATCTTTTCTTGAAAACCTCCAGCGATGGGGCGCCCACCCCATTGGGAGGCAAGCCGTTCCACTGCTTAATAGTTCCTGCGTCAGGAAAATCCATCTTAACATTATGGTGACCCAGGGTTTTCTATGTTTAAAGTATTATAGCAGTCCTTCCTTCTGACGGTATTTTGGACTACCATACAGCTTGTCCACAGTTGCACAGGTAGAAGGACCCGTAACCCCATTAGCCATACATATTCCAGGTGACCTCAGATAGCTTCTCCCACCAACTCAAACTCCTGCCCCCCCCGACAACATGAACCTGCTGAGTTATACCACCTCCATATGTTTTATTTTACCCCAAATGTATGTGACAATATTTTAAGTTTTATACTTTATGAGGACGGTGGCGGTTTTGAGTTTTTAGTTAAAACCGACCTGCGTTTCTTTGGCCAGGATATATTATAGATGACAGAAAGACTCGATTGAAGTAAAGGGTAGCTGTGTGGTCAAAATAAAATGCAATTTTTTAAAATCCAGGAGAGCGTGTTTATTTGATGATTTTTAATTGGTCTTTAAAGATATTGCCTATTTTTGCATTTATATTTCAGAAAATATTTTGCAGTTTCAGTTCATAGATTTTATTAGAAGCTGAGGTTTTCTGATTAGAAATGCTTTAAATCAAGGACTATCATTTTTTATTTTGCATGTTGCATTCCACATTCTCTATTACTTTTTTGATGTTTATGATTTCTATTTTTTTTCCCTTTAATCTGTACATTATAGATGCCTTGGTTCTGGCAAGATTTCATCTCGAAGCCATACATGTGGTTTGATTGCTGCTGTTTTTAAGAACACCGTTAGCTACTTGTTCCCTCCGTTACCAGCAGCCTGAATGAAACAGCCACTCACTGTTTCATCAGGTCGCCGTTTACATTGTGAAGAGAAACGCAAGCACAGAATCTAAGTAGATTCAGGTTTGATTAGTTGCTTTGCATAGCGTCTGTTTGTTTTTCCACGCCATTTTTCACATGGGGAGCAGGTGGCCAGAAGCTCTTCGGTATAACCTGTGTTCCATGCATGGCTCTGTACAGGATCCCTAGGAAACAAAGATTTATTTTCAGAATATGGATAGTGTTCTCGTTCTCTTGAACTATCGGTGCTGCTCAGACATGCTCCGCAGATCAAATGCAGAGAGAGGGTTGTTTGGTTTCTGAAGGCAGTGTCAACTGTTCCCATCCCATAAGCCTCCCGCAGAAGTTAAACTGGGCAATTTATTCACAGGCAGAGCAGGCAAAAGAGGAGACAGTAACTGAGTGGTAAAAAAGTACTATAATATTTGCGAGGATGTTAGTAATGAGCAATATTAAGATCATCAGGAGAGGCCTTTCTCTTGATCCTGCCGTCTTCACAGGTTTGTTTGGTGGGGACTTGGGAGAGGGCCTTCTCGGTGGCTGCTCCTAGACTCTGGAACTCCCTCCCACTGGAGGCCAGCCTGGCCCCATCTTTCTTGCCTTTTCTCTCCAGGCAAGTTTTCTCTGAGTGACTGGCTGCCAAGTAGGTTTTTTTTAATGGATTGTTGTACCTTACTGTATTGATTGTGCTTTTGTGTTGCTTATGTTTTTGTAGCATTGTATTCATGTGATCTTTTTAGTAATGCATACTCATACTGTTCTTAGGTATAACACAGTCTTTTTATTGTTGTTGGGACCTTTTTAAGGAGAAAGGTGGGATAAAAATATTTTAAATAACATTTAATTAATGTATTCGCGAAGGCTTTCATGGCTGGGATCTAATGGTTGTTGTGGGTTTTTCGGGCTCTTTGCCTGTGTTCTGAAGGTTGTTCTTCCTAACATTTCACCAGTCTCTGTGGCCGGCATCTTCAGAGGACAGCAGAGGATCTGCTCACAGGGAACATGTTGTTGTTTAGTCGTGTCTGACCCTTCGTGACCCCATGGACCAGAGCATACCAGGTCCTCCTGTCTTCCACTGCCTTCTGGAATTTGGTCAAATTCATGTTGGTCACTTCGATGACACTGTCCAGCCATCTCGTCCTCTGTCGTTCCCTTCTCCTCTTGCCTTCACACTTTCCCAACATCAGGGTCTTATCCAGGGAGTCTTCTCTTCTCATGAGATGGCCAAAGTATTGGACCCTCAGCTTCAGGATCTGTCCTTCCAGTGAGCACTCAGGGTTGATTTCCTTTAGAATGGATAGGTTTGCTCTCTTTGCAGTCCAGGGGACTCTCAAGAGCCTCCTCCTGAACCACAATTCAAAAGCATCAATTCTTCGGCGGTCAGCCTTCTTTATGGTCCAGCTCTCACCTGCTCCTGCAAATTGGTTTGTTTTCTAAAGTGGATTTAGGGTTAGGGTTATAAAGTAGCATCCACTTTCATCCTTAAGAAGCCTTTGAGACTCCATCTCTAGATATGGAGTTTGCAAAAGTTCTTTTTTTGAAGAATGGTAGTCTAAAAAAGGAAAGTTTGATGTGCTCCTCTCCTGCATTTTGTTCCCCAAGTCAATTCTTTGTTTTTGGATGGAAAGCGGCTTCTGTCTGTCTTCTGTCTGGTTTCCTCTTCTGGCAGTCCGTGTCTCTCCTCTTTTCTCACTTCAGCTCCAGTGGGTGGTAGGATTGATTGGTTCCTCCTGAAGATCATGCCAGGCCTGTACTGCCTGCCATCCTGGACTGCCCTTCCTCTACAGAGCTCCTGTGTAAAGGCCTGTGCCAATGGGTATTCCTTGGGTCTCACTGCCCGTCTGACGTATATTAACCTGGAACAGCAGCCTGTGGAAGGTAAGAGCTTTTTTGGATTCACAGCGGCAAGCTATGTCTGCATAAACGGTAGATCACACAGCTCCATAATCGGCAGCACTGGATTTTTTGATCTTTTGCTGTTTCTCCTGCTTGAGGCACTTTTTTTTGGCGATATGGATTAGTGGTTCCCAGCCTTGGGTCCCCAGGTGTTCTTGGACTACAGCTCCCAGAAATCCTGGGCAGCACAGCTGGTGGTGAAGGCTTTTTGGAGTATTAGTTCAAGAATACCTGGAGACTTGAGGCTGGGAACCACTGGTATCCATAAATTCCAGTTTTTTATTGCCATCACTCTTGGGGTGTTTCTACATGTCACTTTTTGTATCACTTGGCCTCATTCCCAGAATCTTAAAACAGGATCCGAATGTTGTTTTCCACTTATAATCATCCCATCTTTCTCCACTGCTGCTTCTGCATTTTTTATTCTTTAAAAAATCAAATGCAGTGGTGCCCTGCATAGCGATCGCTCCGTTGAGCGACAAAATTGCTTGGCGACTGAGGTTTTGCGATTGCAAAAGCGAACACTTTGCGATGGTCCCTATGGGGTTTTTTCGCTTTGCGATGATCGCGGGGAAGCGATCATGGCAAAGCGACCCTTTTTAACAGCTGATTGGCGGTTTAAAAATGGCCGCTGGGAAAACAAAATGGCCGCCCGCTGTTTTTCCTCACTTAAGAGGCAGCGAAAACGGCTGCGCTATGGAGGATTTTCGCTTAAAGGTGAGTTTTTAAGCCCATAGGAACACATTAATCATGTTTTAATGTGTTTCTATGGGCGTTTAAATATCGCTTAGCAACGTTTTTTCCGGAATGGATTAACGTCACTAAGCGAGGCACCACTGTATAGGGAAATGGACACAGTGTCTTCTGATCATTAATGATAGAAACAAAATTAGGGTGGATAAATTTAGGATGAATTAAATTAGAAATGAAGCCGAGCATTCTTACCGGTGCTCCACCACTATGAGGTTGAATGACATTTTCTGTCTTTTCTGGAGTAAGAATAAAAAGCAGTCAGGTATGATGAATGCCTGTGGTGGATGGTCTGTTCGTTGCAAATCATTTTGGCTTCTTTTGTGCAGGAGTATTTGTTTATCCCCTGGAGGAGTCAGAAGTCGTCTCAAGTTTTGAAGCTGTGACGGGAAGACGAAGCTGCACATTCCAGATCCAGAACCGACCTCGGGTAGAAAACTGTTGTCTTGGCTGTAACACGAGTGGGAACCAGCCAGTCCACTGCAGTAATGGTTGGTGGCTTGTTTTAACGCCCTGTCTCTGGTGATAGTGAAATGTATAAAAATGTGAACCAAAAGATACCAGCTCTGGACAGTTTCATGAATATCAGGTTTTCTTGATATGAAAGAATTACCAAGGGGGAATTTTTGTGTGCTGTTTTCATCTCCTTGACTCTAAAACTTTACCCCTGAGCTACAACTCAAAACAGGTTACAGCGATCTGTTAGACCAGAGGTAGGCAATGTATGATTTGTGAGTGCAGTGCATACAACCTCCAGGAGTGTGTTTGCCATTCCCAAGCCTCCTAAGAAAATACCATATTTTTCCGTGTATAAGACTATACTTTTGTCTAAAATCTTGAGAATAAAAATTGAGGGTTGTGGAAGTTAGCTAAGGAGAGAACAAAAACAAGTGGAAGGGAAAGCAGGGATCAAAGAGATCCTGCAGGACTTTGATCCCTTTCCCCCTACACTTGCCAAATCCCACTTAGATTTCTTACTTTTGGGTTAGAAAAGTGGAGGTGTCTTATACATGGGGGCATCTTATACACAGAAAAATATGGTACATTCTTCTTTTTTAAAAAATAAATTAAAGAACATATTGAATGCATAAATACAAAAAATTAATAATAGAGCTTAATACTGACATAGACAAAAATGACTTAAGCTATTCAATTACACATCCGTAAACAATTTTCAAATTTGTTCCATATTTTAAAAACAAACTGGCAAATTTCTTCTCATGGAGGCCTCTGGAAAGTGCAGGATTATTTGTCAAAGGCCTGAAAAACAAAAAATCATAAGTACTTATCCTGGCACCACCTGTCTTCTTTTTTTAAAAGGTGAAAATGGTCATTTCCATACAGCCCATGGAGTTGGCATCAATTCGAACCCCAACTTTTCTGACCTTACTGACTTCCTCTTAATGCGGTTGGGTTACCCAAAGTATCTAAATACATGAGCCAAAAGCTGGTTATAGCTCTGTGGTTTAAGTGTTTGGCTACAGAGATTTGGAGTTCTATTCCCGCAATGTGCCTCCTTGACAGGGTGATGGGTAATGATAATCGACTACAGGGTGCAGTGGTTAAACTGCTGCACTAGAGCACAAACTGTAGCTCACGACCCAAGATTCAATCCCAGGTAGCCGGCTCAAGATTGACTCAGCCTTGTATCCTTCCCAGGTTGGTAAAATGAGTACCCAGCTCGCTGGGAGTAGGGGCAATGTGTAGCCTGTGTGATTAACTTGAAAACTGCCCAGAGAGTGCTTGAAGTGCTATGGGGTGGTATACACTTTTTGCTTCTTTGTAAGAATAATGGAGGTTTTATGAAATACCCCTAAAGAAGTGCATTGCTGTCATACTGCCCTGTTCAACGAAATTCCAGAGTGAGGACAAGGTTTAATGTCTGCATCAGTGTATGATGGTGCTGTGGGCTAAACCGCAGAAGCCTGTGCTGCAGGGTCAGAAGACCAGCAGTCGTAAGATAGAATCCACATGAGCTCCCATCGCTTTGTCCCAGCTCCTCACCAACCTAGCAGTTCGAAAGCATGCAAATGCAAGTAGATAAATAGGTACCACTTCGGTGGGAAGGTAAAACGGCGCCCCCTAGTCATGCTGGCCACGTGACAATGGAAACTGTCTTCGGACAAGCGCTGGCTCTATGGCTTGAAAAACGGGATGAGCACCGCCCCCTAGAGTCGGACACGACTGAACTAAAAATGTCAAGGGAAACCTTTACTTTTACCTTTACCTGCCATAAAGAGCACTCCGTGATGGCCACAGTAAAATCTGTAGCTTTCAACCTAATCTTCTTCAGTTTGTCGAGGGTCAAGCTGGAACCTAAATGCAGTGTCAAGTGGCTTCAGTGAGATAATAAGGTAAGTGTGTACGAGTAGAAATGTGTAGATTTAAGCTTTGGACTACAACTCCCAGAATTCCCAAGACCGAAACCACAGACCTACCAATCTCAAGCAAGAGTGTTTAGGGTGGTTTTCCTGTCTCAAGTGTGATTCTGGAACCCCAATGAGGGTTCTGATGAGAACCCTCATTCTCATGCAGAAGCAAGTGTTGTAGGTAAGTTTGTGGTGTGAGCAGCTCCTCAAAATATATGGGTTCAAGAAAAGGACACCAAGAAGGATGGGTCCTCTACGTGGATCTGAAGGAATAACTAACTCCTCTCTACCTTCTCCACAAGGTCACCTTGTCCTTGATGAAGACTTGGCCCGTTCTACGTTCATCCTCAGCATTGGCTCCATTGGGCCTTCCGAGATCCTGACGGTGGTCTTCAGCAGCACCCAGGAGCTGCCCACTTTGCCAAATGGGGCGCTGCGGGCCCTCTTCCCATCTGTTCTCACGCCTTTCGTGGAAACGACCCCAGAAAGTGAAAGTGAGGCAAGAGGCTTGTGTGACGACAGGTTGGCCCTATGGTGATTTTCCTGGCTTTCTCTGGGACTATGTTATGTGGAGACAAGAGTGCTCGTGGGGGGGGGGTCTAAAGAGGTTGGCCAGAGTCACTGGGAGCCAGCAAGCAACCATCATGGCTTGAGTCAGAGGTGGGGGGTGTCGACTGCTGATCCATATTAGTCCTCCATCATAACAAAACTTGAATAGGCTTGTAATGTATTACACTTTCCAGGTACACACTATCCAGTAGAGTTTTCGTCCTTCTAGGTAGCCTTGCCCACTGGGATATCTATTGGATTGAAGGAAAAAAGAGAAGAGACTAGTCCACGCAGTAGCATTGTCTCCAGTCATTCTGGGTTGTTCTGGAACGCTTTGTTGCAGATTTTATTTATTTATTATATTTCTATACCGCACCATCTGATGGCATGCCACTACTCTGGGTGGTTTCCAGCATATTTTAATAGATCGTCCCAATATTTGCACCACAGACGGGAAACATATTTGTTGTGTGATTGCATTATGTCATCCAGGTACTGCTTGTCTCTCCACACCCACAATTGCTCCCTGATGTCTCAAACATAGGTTGCCTTTAGACCAACTAAAGACACTCATCAATCACAGTGACAGATAATCCCTCCCCCTTATCACAACAATACATCCACACACAAAAACACTGATCACCATCATCGCCCTATCTCCTGAAAAGGACAAAAGCTGTTCCCACAGCTATAAATACTCAACTATCCAACAAATAGCAACAGAGCATGGACAGAGTTCCTACTCCAGTCCTCTGAAGATGCTGGCCACAGAGACTGGAGAAACGTCAGGAAGAACAACCGTCAGAACACGGCCAAAGTGCCCGAAAAACCCACAACAACCATAGCTTGCCTTCCTTTTTGCCTCTCTTTTCTGCTCTTTGGGCCACTTTCCTCTCTCCATCCTTCCTGTCTTGCTTTACCTGTCCATAGGGCATGGAGCAGTGCATATTGCCCAGGAGAAAAGTACTAATAAGGAAACATCATCAAAGGGTACACAGCCACAATATGTGCAGATCAGCTTGGAATAGGACTGCAAAGAGAACAAATCTCTCCATTCTGAAGGAAATCAACCCCGAGTGCTCACTGGAAGGACAGATCCTGAAGCTGAGGCTCCAATCCTTTGGCCATCTCATGAGAAGAGAAGACTCCCTGGAAAAGACCTTGATGTTGGGAAAGTGTGAAGGTAGGTGGAGAAGGGGATGACAGAAGATGAGATGGTTGGACAGCATCATCAAAGCGACCAACATGAATTTGACCCAACTCCTGGAGGCAGTGGAAGACAGGAGGGCCTGGCGTGCTCTGGTCCATGGGGTCACGAAGGGTCAGACACGACTAAACAACAACATGTTCCTTGTAAGCAGATCATGTTCCTGAGCAAACTGGAACAAAGCAGGACAAAAATAAACAACTACCAATGAGTAGTGTTTACAAAAAAACAAACAAAAAGCAAAGGTTTTTTTGGGTCTCACTGACTCTGTTCACACTTGTCTCAACTATGCATTATGTTGACATTGGGATGCAGTATTGGTATCATGGATTCAGGGAAGGTTGACCCAAAGTCTCAGTGTGGACAGGCCAAAGAGAATGTTTACAAAGACTCTTCCTTTAATGGGGAGCTTCAAATGTGGCCTTGAAGAGGCTGAAGATACTTCACTTGAAATGAAATAGCCTGCTTCTGATGCCAGGTTTTCGGAGTAATTGCTAGGAGGGCACCATCCTTCTGTCCCAGGGTGGATGACCTTAGTTGGGGCTAAAGACTATTTGACCCCAAGCAACGGCTAATATTGGGCGAGAATCAGAACACAAAGTGAGTGGATGACCACTTTGATTTGGTTTGGTTTTCATTTGGTGGAGAGAACACAAGTTTGGATGGGCCTGCAAAAATAACTGCTGCATCTGGACGCTTCCAGGAACAGGAAAAAAATGGTTTTGCAATAAAATTGGATACAAAAATGTGTTTCTGGCAGAGTCTCTTGGTTGGCCTTCATGGAAGCTTGTGTGGGTTAAGGGATAACTTTGTCACATAATACAGGCTGTACTTTGTCCACTCCTGCTTTGTTCATATAACCTCTTGCAAGTGTGATGTGCCATCTCCTGCCGTGACCATTTGCCATAAATGGTCCATCTGTGATGTTTTGGCATGCAAGCAGCAGCTCCAAACTCTACCCTTAATCCTCTGCTCCCTCTGTCCAGCAACCTACCATAAATGATAACTGTAATAAGAGAATGTCTATAAATGTATCCTTCTTGGGAAAGGTGGCTTGCTTTCATTTCTGACCAGACTCTAGTCCTTTGGCAGAGTGATTGATGGAGTGCATTGTACGAAAAGTCAAGATCCACTGACTTAGGGCACTTTCTTTCCCTCTTTTTTTTTTATTGTGACCTACGAGTTGACCAAAGCACTTGACACCAAAGTGCAGATCCCTGACCCACATTCCCCAAAGGCAGTAGGAGCCCACGCAGATATCAGTGGGGCTGCTTCCAGACAGAGGGTGTCTAATGCTAGCCACCCAAAGACTTTGTTCAGCTCTTTCATCTTTCCCTCTGTAATGGTGATAAATGAAAATGTGGAAGGATCAGTAGGAAAAACCAGGAACACTTCATCAGTGCAAGATGGAAAATAATGTCCAAAACATCTTGTCCCAGAATAGGCGGTTTGCAGATCTCCTGGGAAAAAAATTGCACATCCAGGACAACTGTGTACTGTTCTATATGAAAGGCTGCTCTGAGCCATGACTGTTTTCCTCTTCCTTTAGCTCCACTAGTTGCTTTGGGTCCACGGGTCTCAAGAGCGAGCAGTCATTCCTCAACCCTCCTAAGGATACGGACATCTTCAGAGGAGAGGTTTACAACCCCTTTCCGTACGAGTTCGCCTTTGAGATGCTGGTTAAGGGGCCCTGTTTGCTGGCAGGTATGTTATGACACCTAATTTGTCTTTGGGGTGGGAAGTCAGTTCTTCTAGGAACAGTGCATCGCCAAACATACTTCAACAACGTTACCATCCTACAGTGAGATGTATTTTCTCTCTTGCCTGCATCTTCAGTTTCTAGTATTGCATAATTCAAAACTGGATGGATGGATGGATGGATGGATGGATGGATGGATGGATGGATGGATGGATGGATGGATGGATGGATGGATGGATGGGTTAGTTGATGGATGGATGGATTTTCTCAACTTTCTGGTCGCAAAGGAGCAAAGACACATCTGCTTTATTTGGGTTTTGGAGGTTTTGGACCTATATCCAGTCAAGATGAATGAGGGAAAATATGATAAAGTTTTAGAATTCCATACTAGTAAATATTACACATTTTGAAGAATCATTAAAGTTTGTGGTGGGGAGCTCCCAAATCCCTCTGCTCAATTCAATTTGGTGTGATCTTTGTTCCAGCGTTGGCTGCCATAATGGGGCAGATTCCTATCCTTAGTTGTTGAGCATGTGGCATATAGTGTTCAGTTTTTAGACTTTACCAGTCATCAGTACAGTATTGGCCTTCGAGTATTTTTAACCATATTTCAGCTTTCTGCTTGCTGTTGTGGTGCTATTTAAACGTCGGATCCTCTTTGACCCAAACCCCAAGCCCTTTATAATTTAAATCTGATTTAAATTATGGTTTCAGAACTATTATTGTGGATTGCATAGGCTGACATTTCCACTTCCACTTCCTCTTCTTTCTCCTCATCTCTCTCTGTCTCAACTGCAATCTGAGAAAATGGAAGACTTGGATGGGGTTCAGAACCTTCTCTTCAGGCGAGCTTTCTCTGAGTGCCTGACTGCCTGAATGGGCTTTTAAAATGGATTGTCGTATCTTACTGCTTTGAATATATTTTGGTGTTGCTTTGGTTTACCGTTTTTTAGTACGGTGTTTGGTTGATCTTTTTTACTATTTGCATACTCACTGTTCTTAGCTTTAAATTAGTAGGCAGGCATCCTTCAGTCTCAAGAGACTATGGTAACATGTCTTGGAACAGCGTCTAGTGTGGCTGAGAAGACCAATCCGAGGGTGACCATCCCTTCCACATTGAAGACAAATACAATCTGTCCCCTGTCCAGCTCCCTGATTTGGCTGCTTTCGGGACTGACTCTTTGCCTTGGCTGCTGGACAAGGGTCTCTTCAAATTGGGAGAGGGTCTCTTCAAATTGGGAGAGGCCATGCTGAACAGCCTGCCTCCAGGATGAATGCTCAGAGGTCAAGGTTTCCCATCTGTTGAGGTCTATTCCCAAGGCCTTCAGATCCTGTTTGCAGATCTCCTTGTATCGCAGCTGTGGTCTTTCTCTCGGGCAATTTCCCTGCACTCATTCTCCATCCAGGAGATCTTTTGGAATCTGACCATCAGCCATTCTCACAACATGCCTGAGCCAACGTAGATGTTGCTGTTTCAGTAACGTATACATGCTAAGAATTCCAGCTCGTTCTAGGACTTCTCTATTTGGCCAGGTGATGCCAAAAATGCTTGGGAGACAATGCATATGGAAGGTGTTCAGCTTCCTCTCCTGCCGTGCACAAAGGGTCCAGGACTCACTGCAGGACAGGAGCACTGCAGTGAACTTTAAATGCTACCTTTTAATTATGGAAGCCATCATGGGTCCTTTTTGAGGAGAAAGATGGGGGGGAAATATTTTAAACAAACAAATTGAAGTAGGTCTTGACATCATACACAGTTGATGAGCTTCATTGCCCTGACAAGCAGGACTGGGTTCTTCTTTGTGGAAGGTCTAACGAGTCAATGCCAGGTGTGTTTGCATGTATGTGGTGGTGATAGTGGTGGTAGTGGTGGGAGCTGTTACAGCATTTGCCCTCCTTTTTCAGCCAGCTTGAAGAGGTGGCTGGAGGAATTCTGCCATACATCCTCATCCTTTCTCTGCCAGTTTTGGGAAACTGGGGGATTGACTATATTTCTCCTTCTCCACTACCTCTAGCATACTCTAGCATCCTCTAGCATACTCCAGCATACTCTAGCATACTGAGCATACTCTAGCATACTACCACAACAAGCTGCTGTGTCACAGTGTGGCAGTAGCAGTTCCTTTACTTCCTGCCTGATGCGGCCGCAAGCTTGGACTGTCCCTCACAAAACAGAACGGCTGCTTCTGAATATGTCTAAACAACATGCTCTGAAAATGAACTGCAAAATCCAGCGTTGGCAGGCTAGTGTCCACCTTTTCCTTGAGACTTCAGATCCAGAGTCTGAGAATGGAGAATGGATGTCAAGAGCGGAGTCTCAGGGTGAAGGCTTGAGACCTGACCATCCTGTATCAGAAGACTGGATGTGGGGCACAGTAGGAGAAATGCGAAGGAGAGCCCAAGAGAAGTGGCAACGAATGGAACCATTCCAGGGATGTTTTAGGGTTAGCTGCGTCATGTGAAAAATGTGTGGAGTAGCCTAGGAGAAGTAGTAGGAGAAGGAGCCCAGTTCCCTTAAAAATCAAACTCTTAAGAAATGTACACTTTTTAAAAGCTGAGTTGCTGAATCAGTATTCCTTTTGTCTCATGCAAGAATGAGGAATATGGGAGAGAAGAAAAAAGGAAGCAGTACACTGAAGCAATTTTGGAGAGCATGTGCTTCAGAGAGACATGGGAATTAATCCCATTAGGGGTTGGCCCAAGTCCCATTCCTTCAAGAGATGTTGCACTTGGGAGCATGGCCTAGTAAAAATGTCTTTCTGTGAGCAGAATAGCTATTTGTGTGTGTGTGTGGGGGGGGGGTTGGATATAAAGTTTTTTTAAAAAAAACACGATGCTGGGAATTTATAAAGCTCAAGAAAAGCACTTTAAATATATTGGAAACAATGCATCACAATGCACGTTTTGCCTCATTTAGCGCTGGATGAGCTTGTTCAGATGTGACTGCCATATACAAGCCTTTACTGTATATGTTTTGCAATGCTTTGCCAAAACAGCACGGCCGGTGGATATTAGAGAGGGGAAGTCCGATGTGTGTATGCCATTCAGATAGGTATAATGTGTGTTTTTGTGAGCAATGCAGAAGACCGCCCTGCCCCCCCCCAAAAAAAATCTATGTCAAGGAAATGGTTTTTATCAGTTTTGCAGATGTATGCATTCTCTTTATTTATACCATTCTTTCGGGCAGAGAAGCCACAGAAATAGCATGCTACTACCATATTTTATTCATGGCAAATGTAAATTTATATATGTGGGTTTACTTCATTACTTCATGACTCCCTATCAGATATGTGAATGGCATCCATTTAAATATACTGTGCTTGTCTCTGTGATTGGAGTGACATGGCAGTTTTATTTATGGAGGTGTTTTACATACATACAAGTTAATCACTTTGATGGAGCAAAAAGTGTGGATCAATCCTTTTTAGGGGAAAATAGTAGCAGAATACCATTTGAATAGTATCATCTGAAAAGACTGAAAAGGTATGACATCTTAGAGTGTTAATACATAGCACCAAGAAAAATAAAACATCCTTTCTAGGTGAATTTTATAAATGTTTTAAGGAGGATGTTGCTCCACAATTGACAGACCAGTACAATAAATTATTGCAAGGGGGACAAATTCCACCATCATGGTCTTTTGCCCAAATAGTAGAGTATGAACCCATATCTACGGGATTGGTATCTGTAGTTTCACTTGTCCGTGATCCAAAAATATTAAAAGAAAAATAATAAAACACAGAAATAAGTATGTCCACAATGTAATTACCAGAACTGGCCTTTAGAGGGAGTAAGAGACCATGCTGATGGAGACAGCAGCCACAAAATTAAAAGACGCCTGCTTCTGGGGAGGAAAGCGATGACAAACCTTGACAGCATCTTAAAAAGCAGAGACATCACCTTGACAGCAAAAGTCTGAATAGTCAAAGCTATGGTTTTTCCTGTAGCGATGTATGGATGTGAGAGCTGGACCATTAAGAAAGCAGACCGCCGAAGAATTGATGCCTTTGAATTGTGGTGCTGGAGGAGGCTCTTGAGAGTCCCCTGGACTGCAAGGAGAACAAACCTATCAATTCTAAAGGAAATCAACCCTGAGTGCTCCCTGGAAGGACAGATCCTGAAACTGAGGCTCCAGTACTTTGGCCATCTGATGAGAAGAGAAGACTCCTTGGAAAAGACCTTGATGTTAGGAAAGTGTGAGGGCAAGAGGAGAAGGGGATGACCGAGGATGAGATGGCTGGACAGTGTCTGCGAAGTAACCAACATGAAATTGACAGAACTCCGGGAGGCAGTGGAAGACAGGAGGGCCTGGCGTGCTCTGGTCCATGGGGTCACGAAGAGTCGGAAACGACTAAACGACTAAACGAAACGAAGAGACCATGCTATGTACTGTACCCTCATTTTGGAACAGGCTACCCTTGTCAGCTCATCAAGACATTGCTAAACGTTGGAAAGATAGTCAGAATCCTACCATTGTACCAGTAGGTTTGGAACTTAGCTGTAGCAGAAAAGCTGGTACAAAAAGGTACTGTAGAAAGGCAGGGGAACAGAAAACCCCCAACATTTTTGAGACTTTATGATATCCCTTCCTTATGAATACCATGTATACTGACGATCAAGAAAGAAAAGCTGCTAATTCACATGGAGGCATTTGGGAAAAAAAGCAATTTGGATAATTCAGGTAATGACCTACTCTAAATCTAGTGCTAATCAGTAGTGAAAACAAGAGATCCATATGTTTAAAAGACAATGCTTATTGTTCTTATGGTTAACGTTGTGCTTTTTGTGCATTTTTTCTTTATTCTTGTTATGCCATGTGTTATTATTATTAATAAAAAAAGAAAATAGACAACTGTACGTTTTTCTATCTCTAATGCGTTTTGTCTTCTTCTATTCTTGCAGGACTAGAGAGCCCCACGCATGCTCTTCGAGCCGACGCCAATCCATACGCCAATTCTGCCTCAACGATATGCATTACCCTGGCAGAGCAGCATAGGTGTGACCGCAACCTGGAGATTATTTTGTACCCTTGTGGTAAGAGAAGCCCTCTCAAGCCAGACGAAGCTGTAATCGGGAATAACTGTGGGTCTCCTTGCTCGATAAGATGTATAATACATGGAAGAGTGTAGAATTAAATTGGGAAGCAAGTCTTTAAGATGGATCTGTTCAATCCTCCAGATCTGTAGATTTGCAACTGGATAGGACCAAAAATTTCTGAGAGTCACTCATTTTCTAAACTACAGTATACATATTTTGTACATATTGTCTGAACTCTATGTCCCTTATATAACAACTTCTAGGGCCCTTTCTGATGTTGCTGTTTTTTTAAAAAAATGTTTTAAGTAAAAGTTATGGAGCAAATATTTATTTATTTATTTTATTTACAATATTTTTTAGCTGCACCATTGCCAGTGGCTTCTAAAGTACTAAAATCAAGAACCCTACATTTTTCAAGTTTTTTGCCTCATTTTATAAAGAACATCCTGTTTTCATCTCCAAATGCTAAGAAAGATGATAGATTAAGTTCTATATTTTGGTGAACAATTTTGGAACAATTTTGCAACCAAAAAACAAGCAAATAAACAAGAGGCCTAAAGATACTTCGACACCGCAGCATGTTTACTTCAGATGTGATTATAAGTTTCCTTCAATCCCATAACATCTCTCGCATAATGGGGAAATAGTTCTGTGCTCATCTATGGAAGCTGAAGGAAAGCATCGTCTGTGCAGCGTTTTTAAGACTGATTGTCTTGTTTTCTGGCAGTACCTGTGTGGCATGGAAAGAACATGCGTTCTGTAGCCACAATCATTCTTCTTGTTGGGCATCAGAAGGGGGGTTTAGAATGCAATCCAGATGGGTATATGGTGTTAGGATGAGTGCACCAAGTGTCTGCCCCATGCAAGTCATTTTAAATTCTTCCATGTGGTGGTGATGATGATGTTATGAGCTGCCCAACATTGGTGCTGTTCCTGTTTGAGTGCCCAACCATAGGCTGAGGTGATTCTTATCCCCACTTTTTCAGATGGGGAGGTCAAGGCTGGGAGTTGCCCAAGGCCATCAGCTGGGCCTGTGGTTGACAGGGTGTTTTGAATCCTGATCTACACTGCTATGTATGGAATTATTCTGATTCTCTTCTATCTGTACTATTTTGCCCTCAAGAACCTCATAACCCACACCTTATCATTGAAGATGGCGCTATGACGTATCACAAATATGAGTCACATATAAGGAACCGCCGAGATTACGCTCGTATTGCCAAAAAGGACAATGATGGTGAACGACAGGTAATTAGCAGGGAAGGGGAACCTTTTTTGTAAATGAGATTGGTCAGAACCAGCATTCCATGCTGTGACGGACAGGTCAGGAACCACTCCTGTCCATCACAATAGAACCTTGACAGATCAACCAATGGGTGAACAGAAGAGGTTGAACGGAGGATATTTAAGAAGAATGGGAGGCAGTTAAAGTTCAATTGGAGATATGAGTTAGTTAGAGAGAAATGAGAGAGAGTTAGAGAAGATTTCAGTGAGAGTCTGTGTTAGAGATGTCAGTTAAAGAGAAGAAGTTAGGCAGTTAGGACCAGTCTTGGGTTAGATAAGGGTAATAGATATAGAACAAGAAAAGAAATGAACAAATACTTGAAGTAATATGATTTTATCCAAGCTAATATAAATGTCATAAAAGCACAGTTGATTTCATGAATAAAATAAGAACATCCCTGATTTACTTGTGAACATTTTAATAAATATTGTTTAATTGAATCATACTGATTGAAGAGTTACATTTGATGTAATGAGGAGTGCCTCCTCTGGTGGCAGCGGAAAGAGTTGAAAAATAAGTGTCACACCTGAAAGTGAATCTGGGTTGTGGAGAGAAACAAAGAGGGGGACTGGGTTCGTGACACATGCCCTTCCTGGATTTCTCTCATACCAAACAGGTACTATAGCTAGCAAGTAAGAACATGGCACGTGGTGGCACTGCGGGCTAAACCGCAGAAGCTTCTGTGCTGCAGGGTCAGAAAACCAGCAGTTGTAAGATCGAATCCATGCGACGGAGGGAGCTCCTATCGCTTCTCCCAGCTCCCGCCAACCTAGCAGTTCCAAAGCATGTAAAAATGCAAGTAGATAAATAGGTACCACCTTAGTGGGAAGGTCACGGCATTCCGTGTCTAGTCACGCTGGCCACGTGACCACAGTCTTTGGATAAACGCTGGCTCTACGGCTTGGAGACAGGGATGAGCACCACCCCCTAGAGGCGGACAAGACTGGACTCAATGTCAAGGGGAACCTTGACCTTAAGAATGTGGGTTGCTGGGGAATGCTGTGTTCTTTCTGTCAGTCAACCCGACATAACAGTATGGGAGGCTGGTTGCATGCTCAACAAAGCCACAGTTAACTATGGGGATGCCTCAGGGACCAGCCCAAACCAAAGACTTTGGTGCACTGTGGAACTGGAGGTCTTGAACCCTTGCCTCCTGTCCTCCTAATGTGTCCTTGCAGGTATAGTCAAGGGTGACCTGGAAGGAAGCAAAATGCAGAAAAATAGGGACTTGCATTTCAGAATTTTTGTTTCAGATTACAAATCCCATCATTCTAGGACTGCCAGACCCAGACCTTAAAGACTCTTAAATTGTACCTGTCTGAAGAGGAAGTCCAGCCGACAGGTTTCACAGCTTGGACAGGCCTAATTTCCTGTTTGATAAAGAAGCTGTTCCAATGGTTTCTGGGCGGTTTTCAAAGAGAAAAAGAGGTCTCTCCCTTGCATGAAGCCTGCTAGCTGGGCTTTCTTTCTTTCTTTCTTTCTTTCTTTCTTTCTTTCTTTCTTTCTTTCTTTCTTTCTTTCTTTCTTTCGGTGTCTGTGGGGTCCAGATATGGCCGGTGGGACTCTCAGAATAGAGAATAATGGGATTTGTAGTTCAAAAAAGAATGCATCCATACAAAAAAAATTAAGGAAACCTTAGGTAGGGTAGCAATGGGCAAGTTGAGGCACTCCAGATGTTATTGCACCACAACGCCCCACAGATGTGGACAGCATAGCCAAAGCTGAAAGATTCCAAGGTGTGTGTATGTCAAACAGCACCTGGAGGGGAACAGTTGCCGATCATCCCCTATGTTTGGCAACCAGAAGGAATCAAGATACATTTTGAAAGTAAACGTGTGATAGAACCCTCCAGGGATTGTACCACATTGGAAAGCATGTGGAGTGAACATCATTTAATTTTGGTGTGCTGGCGCCACAGTTACACAATGGCTTCCCAAAGGAGGCCTGTTAAGCATCATCCTGATTGAACTGGATGAGGCTGGTTAAGATTCATTCTTTCTATCAGACTTTTGGGAATGGCTGATGCTGGTGGGTCTTGCCTCCCACTTGGTTTTGTAGATTGTGTGTTAACTACTTGATTGATCCTTAAGTAATGGCTTTAATGGCCTCTGATGTTTTAACATAGATCCTATCTTGTGTTTTTAGTAATGCTCTTCAAATGGTTCAGATATATTGTAAATAATAAATGCTTCCTCGTATAAACCAACATGAAGCTAATATGGGCAACAGTTGGTTTAAAAAACACTAACTTGGCTTTGTCACTTATGTGTTTAGTTTTTTTAAATAAGAAAGCTATTTTGGACAAGGTTATAGGGATAAATCCATGTAGTGATACGTTTTTCTAATGGCTATTAGCCAAGATGCCTAAAATGCTGGAAGAACTGTGTTCAGAAGCTATGTATCTTCCAAGAGACCCATTATCCTTCCGCTTTGCACCTTAGATCCAGAGGTGTCTGCCTATGGCCTTTGGAAACAATGCTGGATGAGATGGACTTTTGTCTGATCTAGCAAGGCAGATTGTTGTGGCATTAACGTGATGACCCTATACATATGTGTCCAGAATATTAGTAGCAGTATCCAACCTGCCACCCTCCACATCTGCTGGACTACAAGCCTCATAACCCGTAGTTCAGCACATCTGGGGAGCATCAGGTTGGAAAAACAGAGAGTAGATGAGGGTCAGCAGAAGAGAAGTCTTAAATTGCAGCATTGCTTCTAATCCTTTCTTTAAAAGGTGAATGGCGATTCTCATGGAATCAACAGATGTTTAGGGTTTCAGATACGAAAGTAGTAGTACCAACTCTCTTCTGCTGTGGTCACTCTTCAGATGGAGTACCGTATCTTCTTCTTGGCACAGTTTGACAGATTACTGACAAGCCGGAATGTGCCAAACTGTGACAAGGAGAATGAGGGTTCTGGAAAGCGAGTCTTATGAAGAATGGTTGAAAGAACGGAGTATGTTTAGACTTGAGATCACAGGTGTGATAACCATCTTAAAGTATCTGAAGGTGCTGCCCTGCAGATGATGTAGGCCTTGTTTGTGCTGTTCTAGTAAAGAGGACGGGACACAGGAGATTCAAATGATGGGAAAGGAGAATTCAATTAAGCATGAGAGAGAACTTTCTGATGGTCAAAACCGTTGAATAAGAGAATGGATTCTCCTTCCCTTGAATGACCACCTTTCAACCATTCCTTAGCTCAGGATGTTCTTCACCAAGTACAGTGGTGCTCTGCATAGCGACGATAATCCGTTCTGGATATATCGTCGCTGTCCGGAAACGTCACTATACGGGGCAGAAAACCCCATAGGAACGCATTAAACTCCATTTAAGTGAAGATTCCCCATCCGACCGCCATTTTTGCTGCCTCGGTAAGTGAGGGCAGGGCGCGAAAATGCTGCGGGCAGCCATTTTCTTCATCCGGCGGCCATTTTTGAACCGCCAATCAACTGTTCCCAAAACATCGCAATGCGAAGATCGGTAAGCGAAATCCTTACCAATCATCGCAATGCGATGTTTTCCCTATTAAAATGTCGCAATGCGATCGCTTTGCGATTGCAAAATCCGCATTGCTATGCGGATTTGTCGTTAAACGGTGCGCTCGTTAAGCGAGGCACCACTGTACAAGCTGGATGAGATAAGTCTTGATATTTAGTCCATCTCTAACTTTCTGTCATTCTTTCCTTCTCACCTGAGGTGGCATTTGTCCAGAAGAGGTTCCACAAAGACATTTTCTACAACCCTGTCCTCATGCTGAATTTCTGCCCTGAGATGAGCAATGTTTCCACTGATTTCCAGATGGTCACTCGCGAAATATTCTTCCTCGTTGACCGGAGTGGAAGCATGAGTAGCCCCAGCATGGATGGGATCAAGGTAAATAAAGTCTTGGAGTACTAGTGGAACATGCAACCCTGCCATACACTGAATCAAACCGGTAGTCCCTCCAGCTTAATAGAATCTCTGTGGTCTGCCTGATGTTCTTTGGAGTTTTCAGACAGATTTCATTTTATTTATTTATTCATTTGATTTCTATACCACCCCTCTGGGCACCCAGGCCACTCTGGGCAGTTTGGACAGTACAATAGAACACAAACGCAAAACAATACAAGAACAGGACAATAATATAAAATAGTCCATACAATATCGACGAATGAAAATAATATCAATAAGACATTGAAATAAAATAAGGAAAGCACGGCCGAGGGTTGAACATTAGCAAATATGTGGTCGTTTAAGCGCAATTGTATCAGGATATAATAGAATCCAGGCGGGCCTGTCTGAATAACCATGTTTTTAGTGATTGCTTAAAATTCCCAATGAAGGCACCAGGTGGATTTCTGGTGGGAGACCATTCCAAAATTGTGGGTCTACCACCAAGAAGGCCCAATTTCTGATCACTGTTTTCCAAGACTCTCTCGGGGTCACAACTCTCAACTGTCCAGCCTGGGAAGATCTTACAGGATGGGCAGATCTGGTTGGAAGGAGGCGTTCGGCCAGATAAGAAGGTCCCAACCATTTTAGGGCTTTGTATGTTAATACCATTACCACAAAGCTGGCATGGAAATGAACAGGTAGCCAGTGCAGGGTGGCCAGAGTGTCTTCACACCACACTGAGTAATCTGGCGGCCATGTTCTGGACCTGTTGAAGTCTCTGTGATGGCACCAAGGGCAGCCCCACATAGAGAGCATTACAGTAGTCTAATCTCGAGACTTACCAGTGCATGGATCACTGTGATGAGGTACCCGGTGTCAAGGTAAGGATGCAGCTAAGCGATTTGCCCTAGATGGAAATAGGCGGTGTGGACCACAGACGCTATCTGAGATCCCATGGATAGCGCTGGGTCCAAGAATACAGTGATGCCTCGCTTGACGAGGATAATTCGTTCTGTTGAAATCGCTGTTAAGCGAAATCCTCGTCAAGCGAAATGAAAAAGCCCATTGAAATGCACTGAAACCTGTTCAATGCGTTCCAATGGGCTAAATACCTCAGCGTCCAGCGAAGATCCTCCATAGGGGCGGCCATTTTCGGTGCCTGTAAAGTGAGGAATCCGTCCTAAAACACAGCGGGGAGCCATTTTGCACAGCGGGTGGCCATTTAGAGCCACCGATCAGCTGTTTAAAAATTGGCGTAAAGCGAACAATTGGTTCCCGAAGCAGGGAACCGATCACCATCAAGCGAAATTTCCCTATCTAAACATTGTTTTGCAATCGTAAAAGCAATCGCAAAAATTTCATCGTCAAGCGGTTTCATCATTTAACGAGGTATTAAGCTAGGCACCACTGTACATCCAAGTTACATACCTCATCCTTCATGGAAAGAGTACCCCCCCCAAAAAAAGACAGGGAACCACTAGGTGGCCCCACCCGCAGGATTTCTGTGTTGTCCAGGTTCAGCGTCAGTCTATTTTTCCTCATCCATCCCAGCACCGCATCCAAGTAGTGCTCAAGGGACGGGACGGCATCCATTGCAGAAGGATGAAAGGAGAGATAGAGCTGTGTACCATCTGTATATTGACAACACAAAGCTCCAAAACTCCTGATGACCTCCCCCAGCAGGCTCATATAGGTATTAAATAGCAATGTGGAGGTGGGTGACTCCTGCAGGACCCCACATCTGAGAGTCCACAGAGCGGACAACATTTCCCGAAGCTGAACTCTCTGGGAACGGTCGTCCAGGAAGGATCGGAGTCAGGCCCCAGCCCGCCGAGCCTCCCCAGGAGGATACCGTGGTTGACAGTATCGAAGGCCACTGATAGGTTGAGGAGGACCAACAACGACACTTTTCAGCTTCCCCAACAAGGTCATCTTGCAGGGCGACCAGGCCATCACGCGGCCTGAACCCAGACTGGAATGGATCGAGGGCGTTGGTCTCCTCCAGAAGTTTTTCTTTGGTCCTATGCAGAGATATCCGGTATTGAACCTGCTTTTCATGTGGGGCATGAATGATGGTCTCCTTCTAATGCAGAATGGGGGGGGGGGCAGTGGAATGAGTGTCTTCGGACGCACGAGTCAGCAAGATGAGGTTAAGCCTGAACAGGTGAAATGAAGCAGGTTGTAGAAATCAGGTGACAAGTAAGCATGGTGGTGTACAAACCAATGAGTAGCAAGCATTGCAGATGGATTCGGGTTGCCAGCTCAGGGTTCACTCAACCTTCCATTCCTCTGAGGTTGGTAAAATGAGTAACCAGCTCACTGGAGGGCAATGTGTTTGTTGCATCATTATGTTGTAAACTGCCCAGAGAGTGCTTTAGCGCTATGGAGCGTTATATCCTGTTAAGTCGAAACAACAAGAATAATAGAAACAGAGTTTCCTACTCAGAGTCAGTTTTTCTTGGCAGGGATAAGAAATGTGGTATCCTGCTCAATGCCTTGTGAACTCTTATTCACAACGGTTGTTCAGGTTTACTTTGGATGCTGTCCAGTCTTGCCTGATTGATGTGATTGATCATTTGAGAAGCTAGTGGAAATGTCATTAAGGAGAAGAGGAGAGAATTTCTGTTAGGAATTGTCTGCTTTGACATCTTAGTCAGAGCACTTAACGTTTCTGGATTGCGGTGCCTGTTATCCAGGGCTTCAGCAGTATCTCTGAATTAACCCTCACTGTCCTCTTTTTGCAAGCATCTAAAACAAAACGAAATGAGTAGTACAGGAACGTGCAGCTTAGGTTGCCTGTGTTGGTCAGGAGAGTGTTAAGTTCTTTTCAGAAAGCCTCACATGGGTAGCATCCTGTCAGGCTTGTTGTCAAGGTACTTGTGATGAATTGTCTATGCATGCTGACCTTAATTTTGCCCATAATTGTTCAGTCCATTTTCAAAAGACTTTCTGTTGCCTGAAAATATATGAAGGTTTCCTCACTTTTCAGACAGAGCACAAATCAGTGTTGACGGTCACATTTAGGTGACATAATAGCTGGAAAGGGAGGGGAAAAGGCATTATTCTGTTAGCTGAACAGCCTTAATTTGAGAGTAGATAAACACAATGGCCCCACAATTGAATTGCTACCAGCTTCTCAGTTGCAGACGATTTGTTTTTTAAATGTTATATCTCTCTTGGGAGATGCGGTACAGCTAATTATTTCTAAGTAGGGAAAACACCCATCCTGTTGTATTCATGATTACTCCCCTGAGGGTCTCAAATGTGGAAGGGGGAGGATGGCCCTGAGATTGAGGTTGATAGCATGGGAGGGTAGACCTGAGATAGAAGAGAGATGGACCAAATGGACAAGAATTTGGAAAACAGAGAAAGAATGAACTCAGGCATCAACCCTGATAAACTCAAATAAATTTTTATGACAGTGCTTGTGGCTAACCTAATGACCATTTGACTTCTCTACCACTTCTTTGTGGAGTTTTTAAGAAATTGGTTGTTGTTAAGTGTTGGTTCTCAGTTATGGATGGTACCAAATTGTTCATATCAGCGCAATAGTTGATTTATCTCGTTTTCATCTGTTCCTGAGAATTTTATACACTTGGCTTACCCAGAACATGAGGATTCCGGGAACTGACACATCTGTACTTCTTATAGTCTCGTGGATGTTCCTCACTTAATCTTCATCACTTGCTTTCTCTGTCTCTTTCTCCCTGTATAGGATGCTCTCCTGGTGGCTGTGAAAAGCCTCCCTTCCGGCACTTTGTTGAACATTGCTAGTTTTGGCTCCAGCATCAAGCCCATGTTCACCTCAAGCAAGACCTGCAACAGTGTGAGTATCCCATTCATGCTGGCTCCTGGTTTTGTCTCTTCAATTCTGTGGCTGGAATGACTCTTCCCCTGGGTCTGTCCAAAAGGCTGTGAGTCTGTAAAGATGCCAGGTTCCTGGCCTGATGCTGTTCTTGGAGAAAGTGTTGCGTCTTCCGTCCTTGAGGTCAAAATCCCATGACCAGTTAATCTGAATCCTGCTTTGTCAGAATTTTAATTGTGTGTGCAGCATGCAAGGCATAAATTAGCATCAATGGTCTTACGGCGAGAGCCAATCCCAATGAAGGCCACAGAGAATCTGTCCTGTGATTTCTTGAAATTCTGCTTAGCAGAACACCTCTCCTATGCTTCTGAGATTATATCAGTCTTTGCTTATGGATTTTCAAATTTGTTTGTTTATATACCGCCGCATTAGTACACAGCACTGTTTTGGGCAGTTAACAATATAAAATCCAACAGGACGTAACAAAACAAAATAAAACAATAAAATCATTAAATATAGGACAGACAGACAGACAAATGAAATTAAGTCAACATTAATCTACAACAACACCAGGAGGCCAAGAGGCTAAAATTTCAGGTCCATCAAAGGCCTCTGGGAAGAGCAGTGTCTTCAGCAAGCTTTAAAAATGGGGAGGGAGGGGGCCAGGCACAGCTCGACCAGGAACTGATTCAGAAAGTTGGTGCCACTGCCAAGAAGGCCTGGCTTCTTGCTGATGATTTTCTGGCTTCCTTCAGAGTCGCCACCCAGCAGAGCAGAGCCTGAGAAGATCTGGCAACATGGGAGTACGATCTTTAAAAGACGTTCCGACAAGTAACGTCTTCTCACTGTAACCGTGGTCAAAGTGAATCATGCTGTGAGTTCCGCACAGTTCACAAATACAGAATCTGACACCAGCCTCTTCTGCTAATTTCCACATCACTGTGGCTGTGGACATAAGGTTGTAAATGTGTAGACCGTGCCTGATAAAATCTTAGACGCTGGATGGTGACCGAGGCAGGTCTTCCAGTTGGTTTCAGTGATGTCCATCATCACTCATTTGAGTTCCCAGAGTCTGACCAGAAGTCTGTGGGGCTTCAGGGGTGCCGTGTTATTGGCCTGATGCTGTTCCTGGCATGTTTCATTTTTGGTCCTTGGGGGTTTAAATCCTGTGTCCAGGTCATCTGAATCCTACCCTGACTGAAAGTGAATTGTGTGTGCAGCACGCAAAGCATAAATTAGCATAGATTTAGCTGTCAGTAGCTGGAGTGAATTAGAACATGCAAGCTGTTTACACCGTACATTCAACATATACAGATGCTAGGTTCTTCAGGATGGAGAATCTGATTCGTCTGCCATCAAAGAGATCATAAGAGTCCGTGATATAAAAGTGGCTTTGCTTTCTCTGCAGATCTCGAGTCCGGTTCACTCCATTTACACCCTTGTTCCATATGTTTTCAGGAGACCCTCAGGCTTGCCTGTGAATACATTCGGAAGCTTCCGACTGACATGGGGGGACCCAACCTCCTGGCTGCTCTGACCTGGATTTTGGGGCAGCCTCTTCACCGTGGGTATCCACGGCAGCTCTTCCTCTTTACAGATGCCACCGTTGGAAACACTGGCAGGGTCATTGAACTGGTCAGGAGGCAAGCCAGCACTGTAAGGTATGGAGTTCGGCGAAATGGTCTCTGACCAGGGCTTGGCCTTTTTTTGTGTGTGCTGTCACTGCTGGGGTTCCCACCGTTCCCGCAATTCCGTAGCCAGAAAATGGCCACTAAAAAATTCTGTGTTTAAAATTATAGAGAGCTGTTGTTATCCGATCGCTGAAGAGCATTGTGGATCTGGGCCGGCTTTTGTAATGGACAGAAGCTCTATGTTTTTAATAGCTGCTCAACTGGCAAAAATCAATAACACTTAGCTTCTCAGTAGCACTTTCCAATGTTCAAAGCACTTCACGTGCATTACCTCAGTGACGTTTAGTAGCACTGTATTGTTATTCTCATATTACTGTTGCAGGGGCTTAGCTGGAGAGCAACTGATTCCACCAAAGTGGAGTGACCAGAGGTTCAGAGACACCTCTGGCCATCTCTGGTCTGCATTCATAACCCTCACTCTAGCCTTTTTTCTTATAACTTCATTGTTTATCTATCTATCTATCTATCTATCTATCTATCTATCTATCTATCTATCTATCTATCTATCTATCTATCTATCTATCTATCTATCTATCTATCTAATCCATCCATCCATCCATCCATCCATCCATCCATCCATCCATCCATCCATCCAT